TCAAAATGAACATGAATTAACCACAATAGCCAAAAAATTAATCAAATTTTCAACCATGTTTAATATGTTTTTAATCCATTTGATTTTTTATTATTTAATTTGATTTTTTATTATGTAAATAAAATTATATTAAGTTTTCCAGTTTGTGTTGGGTTAGGATTTACTTGAAATCCATCCCAAACCGACAAAAAAATTCTTTACTGCGGGCCCTAATCTTTTCGTTTTTTGCAGACTTTACAACAACCTTCACTTTATGCCACCACAGGTCTCAAACCTTTCAAAAATATGCAGCAGATATCCAAATGGATGGAAACCGTTAGTTGACCAAATAAGTTGATTTTGACCAAATTTAAAATGGATAAAATAATAATTTTGCTATTTATCTCTTAAAATAATTAAAACAAAACAAAACAAAAATACAAGAAAAAAATGTTCATTGTCTCCCTCCCTCACTCACTCACTCACTCACACACCCACCCACCCCCAACCTCCCTCCCTCATCCCCAACCAAACCAAATAAGCTTTTTGGCCACCACGACTCGCCATCGTCGTCGTTGGCGCCACTGCCGTCGCGTCCAACAGTCTTCCCCACCCATTGATTCATCTTTCGAAATCCTATTCACACCTCCATCCCAAAAAAAATAAAATAAACTCAATTGATTTATCCCTTCTTGAACCTACGAACTGAGTGTTTTCCTTTTTTAATTAAAACTGAAGCTTCTTAGTGTCTTCACATCAAACACACTCTCAAATTATAGCAGATTTATCATATAAGATAAATAGCAAAATTATCATTTTACCCATTTTAAATTTGGTCCAAATCAACTTATTTGGCCAACTAACGGTTTCCATCCATTTGGACCTCTGTTGCATATTTTTAAAAGGTTTGGAACATGTGGTGGCACAAAGGTGAAGGTTGAGATAAAATCTGAAAAAAAGAAACGAAAAGGTTAGGGACTGCAGCTGAAATTTTCCCAAAAATCAACCCCTAACCGAAAAATTGAAAAATCGACCCAAATTGGTCAATTCGATTTAGCTTTGTCAATTTGCTTGATTTCGTGGTCCAAATGCCCACCCCTAATTATCGAGTTGGGTTATTGGACTTGGGCTTAGACCCAATTCAAACTTCTCAGGCCCAAATCCCCACTACTCCTCCTACAAAGCTCCCAATCACCACCGACTCTTATGGTCGTAAAGAGTCCCATCTACTTAACACTAGATTTCTACATCACAAGCAAAAAAACTTACAAAATCAATATTTACTAAAACACCATTTCTACATCACATACATAATATGAATAATTAAAACAAATGTATCTTGCCTCTAGCTTGACTAGAAGCCTACAATTCAATGATTCCGGCCAGTGCCTCATGAGATACAATTAGACGATTTCGACTGAATGAGAGACAAAGAAATAAGAATCAAAAATAATATTTAGATTTTGGGGAGAGATCGAAATGAGAGAGAGGCACAATTTACTTCTTGTATGTATTCCATCATTGATGAAGTAAGGGCTTCTCTTATATTGCACGTACCCAATCTTTACTTATTGTCATGCTCGTATTCACACTTTTTTTTTATTATAATCTCACCTTCAATCTTTTATTAATTACAACATCTAGTTTTTGATGATGGTTTATTTTAAATATTCTATTAATTTGTTTTAAAATGTAGATAAATATTCTATTGCATTTTTGTATTTGTTATATTTTTTTTCTCTTATTTTAAAATATAAGGGTTATATAAGGCTTTTTGGCCTTCGAAGGGCATTAGGGTCAGGTATGCGTCTCTATCTATGCCCACGCTTGTAGACGAACAAGCAAGGCGTGCAGGACAAGGGTCTTAGACAAAGTGCACAAAGGCAGCTCCCAATGAGGGCCAAAAGTATGCTTGTCTAACAATTTGTACGTCAACAACCGAAAGTATTCATTAAAAAATATGCATGATATATAAATTAAATATATTAATGAAAGAAAATGGCTTATTTATTAAATTTTGTAATTAAAATAATCTATTAACATGAAACCTTGAAATACTCGATGCCACATTAGATAAATAATCATAGTAGGAGTTGTGTGTTGATACCTAAATTTTCTCCTTGTTTTGTG